TGTGGTGCGGTGTGGTGTGGTGTGGTGTGGTGTGGTGTGGTGTGGTGTGGTGTGGTGTGGTGTGGTGTGGTGTGGTGTGGTGTGGTGTGGTGTAAACACGTAAATTCTCTCTTCGTTATGTCGTAGGTATCACAGATTCAGGTTCCGTTCACTGTACCAATCAGTTGACCTGTATGGCTACCAGCAATGCTGCATTCTTAGCAACCTTTGTTCCCTATACTACTCGCGAAGGCCATCAGACAATTGCTTCGGATACTTCCCTCCAAGATGGAGTAAGTCCCTTACAAAAACATCTCCATCAGTCATCGTATTTTGATTTAAAATGTTTTTATATATTTTAACTTTTCAAAATTGCCACTATCATATTTGTAGTATTTTAAGAAAGTCACAGCATCTTACATCATCATCATTAGAATGTGCTCAGCATATCGAAAATATTACTATGTTACTCACAGCCGATCCACGTAATAATATATACTGATTACCATGCAATGCTCACTTCTCCATGCTAACATTGCAGTGTGACTTTCCGTTCGTGCAAAAATGATTTACAATGTTATGTGTGTTTTAGTTAAGGAATAAAAGACGAAATTCCGTGTTTGATACTCTGATCAAAACACGCGGGATGTAGGGAGAGCACGAGAGAAGCGTATTGCGTTTAGAGTCATTTTCATCCGTCTCTGATATAGGAATATTGAATACTATTATGCCCTATTACCTCTTATTACATGCTTATGACATGCGACAAACTAATTTTTTTTTTGATTTTGCCTTTTAGTAGCCTACTACACCCTAATAGTTGATATTAAACACTGACTAGTAGTAATTGTTTCACAGACGAATGAAAATGACTCTAGTACGCTGCAATCTTTTATAATGGCATTGACTGTATTATTGTTTTCCTATAAGGTTGGTTTTGGGGAGACCCTCATTTCGTTACYCTTGACAACAAAAACTATACATTCAATGGTCTTGGTGAGTATGTCATGCTTGACGCCAGAGACGGATATTTTCAGCTTCAAGCAAGGACCAAGCTTGCTAATGGAGAAGGGACGGCTACTGTATTCTCTGGAGCTGTTGCCAAGGAAACGAATACTAGTACTGTACAAGTCACTTTAAGCAATAACGGTAGGTACTAAAGTCATCTTAGAACAATGTCACATGTGGGAATACTAACCGAGTGTTTAAATCCAAGGTACAATGGAGGTGTACATCGATGGTCAACTGTTTGATACAAGTGGCCTTACTAATGTCTCACAGCTCCTTAACGGATCAGTATCGGTATCAAAATCACAGCCAAAGTGCTTTGAAATGGTTTTTCCGTCTGGAATATCAGTTGCCGTCTGTGAAAATCTAAATCAACTTTCAATTGTYACTGCTGCTCCGGAATCGTTTAAAAATCAAACGAAAGGACTTCTGGGAACGTGGAATGGAAATACAGATGATGACTTTRCGTTACCAAACGGAACGGTGYTACCTGCGTCTATCTCTAGCAGAGACATCCACTATAAGTTTGGATTAGCCTGTAAGTTATTATCAATTAGCATTATTCTTTAGAATAGACCTCTGARWACGYAATKCATTGTAGGAYATGTTTGTGACATGTTTTATCCCACAATGCTTTGCAAATCAAGTAGGTGACGTAAAAGGTCTATTGCAGGGGAATTTAAGGGACATAAAAACATTGATAGCTTTGGAGCCATGTGCATATGAGATGTTAGAGCTCAAAAGGGGGCTTACTTCAATCTCTCTACCCCTGGACTGCATATAAACCGTCATCAAAAGAGTATTAGCCCTTAGCACCTCCTTTTGAGTTCTCATACCTCATATATGTATGCTAGTTAACCAATCCGTATGATATAATACTRACATTTTAATTTCACTCTTCGACAGGGCAAGTAAATAACAGCACAACACTATTCCATTATAAGCCAGGAGAAAGTGTCGCATCGTTCATAAATGACTCATTTGTCCCAATGTTCATAGACGATATCACATTTGCAAACGACTCTCTCAAGCAACAGGCTGCAGAGCGATGTCAAGGTGATCAACGTTGTTTGTTTGATGTGGCGGTCACAAGAAATCTGGAAGTAGGAGAAAATACCAAACAAATAAACTCACAGAACGTCAATGACACGGAGATACTGAGTAAGTTATTATCATTTTATCCTTCAGATTCTAATTTCCTTAGACAGGTTATTTCARRAAACGTTTAATACTGTATAGTGTACTCCAAGACCGYAATTTATTGTCGGTATTAAACTCCAAGTTAGCTTCCTTGACAAAGTGATAATTCTAAACTTAATCGCTTCCCCACTGATGTCCTTGATTGTACGGAGCTGGTATAGTCACTCTAAAAACCCCGAATAATGAATATCTTGTACACAATCTTCAGTACTTAATGTTTTCTTAGGTAGCAGTGTATGTTGTAACCAATATAATAAAACTCTACTGTTGCTCGTTCGTCACATCTGGCATTGGAAACATAGATAACATTGMTTGGCGTAGACACGTCGTAGCAATAAATCCACCCACCTATACATGCACGCCGGTCTCACTTGATTTAATTTTTCTTATCAAGATAACGAACCACCCAAGATAGACAACAGTTCTTTAGTTTTGGTCTTAACAGTCAATACAACTGTCACAGTTATTGTGAATGCTAGCGATCCTAATGGTGATGCGATAACATTTAATGTTACTGGACTTCCTACTGACGCTACAGTAACTACTAGTGCAAACTCCATATCAATGACATGGAAAGTCTCCTCTGACAAGGTATATAACATCTATATAACACGCGCATTGATTGGCTGAATTGTGCAAAAAAACGTGTTTCTATAGAGCATAGAAAGACGACTTAATTTCAAAAGAAAAATTGGTGTTATTTTATAAAGCATTATAAGATAAATTGGGTCTTTCTAACAATGGAAACAAAGAAAACATCTTCTAATGCTTAGGTTAATGAGAAAAAAAAACGACCAAAAAGACAAATCTGAAAGTTGAAAATTTCAGTACGGCAATGGATGAAACTAAAAGAACAGTTTCATTCAAGCTGCTTTCCCTCTATGTAAAAAAATCTACATTTTTTCCATTGTTATATTCATAGAAATAAAGAAAAGAGTTGCATTTAGGAATACTAATAACTGCCTTGGTTTTTGTCAGCTTGATATCCAGTACTTTGTAACTGATTCTAAAGATGCTGTCTCATCTATTAAACCAACCATTTATCTCTGCGCATGTCATCATGGTAGTAGCTGCTTGAAACCATCRATAGTGTCTACAGGCTCCAATTCATCTGATAACAAATTTATTCGCATGCTGTGTAGCTGTAGTTCGGGATACACTGGACGTTATTGTGAAAATCAACTCGATGCTTGCATCGAAAATCTGAACCCATGTTACCCTGGTGTAGTTTGCACAGATTTGCCACCGCCWGCAAACCTTACAGCGGGCTACAAGTGTGGAGCATGCCCAACTGGCTATACAGGAACGGGAGCAAACTGTACAGGTACAATTACCAAACTAACTTCTCTCACCCAAAACCTTTTTTTTCTATTGCTTCACACGAAATATTTCTTATAGTTATTGATTTACTTAAATTTTTGTTTGATTTTAGACATAGATGAATGTCGACAAGGAACAAGTGGATGTACTCATAATTGTAGAAATTCCCCAGGCTCATTTATTTGTAGCTGCAAAACTGGATACAACCTTGACATTGATAGAAGAACCTGCATTGGTAAGATAGTGAGCTGGTCCTTACGCATCACCCAGCCAGCAGGGACGACAATATGGCTGCACGCATGGCGATATAAAAGTTCGATAAATAATAATTATTCTTCATTTGATGCTAGCTCGTCACATGCATTCATATTGAGCTATATTATAGATATGTGACGTCAAAGCTGCTTCCTCTGGAGAAAAAACAAACAAAAAATGTTTTTGTTCTCTTGAGAACGTAAATTCATTGTTTTGTTTCCCAGTTGGAGCTGCATTCCCATGAACTGCAAGGGGTTTGTTTACCAGAGGATTGTTGACACGCACACTCAATGAGCTCAGTGTTAATCAGGTTTTCTTTGTTTTAGACATAAACGAGTGCGAACCGTCGACGGACTGCATGCAAAATTGCAAAAACACTCCTGGAAGTTACAGTTGTTCGTGTAATGAGAATTTTAAAGTTGATCCAAACGACAAAAGGYTATGTGTTCGTAAGTGAAAAGACAACTGAGAATTTTGAAAACATAAATTTGTGTAGTTATAATCGTAAATCTGTTGACTTACACAGCATCGAACCCTTGCACAAATGCGAATCATGGCTGCCAGCATATTTGCTACCGAGACTCCCAAAATAACCAGAAGTGTGCTTGCAGAGGAGGATTTAACCTGAACGCCGACGGGAAAACATGCAGTGGTATGCAATTGACATTGTACACAATGATTCTCGCCAAACTGTGAACAAATGTCTGTTTTGTATTTGACAACTCAAAATTGCTTGTAGCACATTTTAACAAACGAAATGGACCAGAGAGTGAAAACACTTATAAAACTGTAAAAAGTACGAACCAAATAGATCTTAATAGCAGTTATGCTTAGTATTTCACAGTAGGGCGAGAGTTAGAAAAGCACAAAATAATTTTCTGTTGTGTCTTGTCCTTCATGAAGACCTTCTTGACTTGTAAGACTCATTCAACTTTTTCTTCCCTAAGTGAACACGACTACAAAAATAATGATTGATACATTATTACAAATACCATGATGAATGCACGGCCTTAAATTTTGGAGCACTCATTACAAAACACAGCATAGATATGATAGAGCGCAACAGATGACGTCATCAAATTAGCATAATGTATTTCTAACTCCAATTTCCTCTGAAATTTGAAGCCTGMAKSCAGTGGTAATTAGAGCAAGCTGTTATTCTTGTTCCATTGACTYTTTTTTYAAATTAAAAAGTTCTCTTCATAAGCACGTTAACTGTCTCTTTTATAATCATCTTGGTATTACCCAAGGTACTTATCGGTCGTCCATACTCTAGATGTCTATTCTAGCTGTAAGACTGTAACCGTCATTTTTYGGTTTTATGACAGATATCAATGAATGCAGCACAAAGCAACATCGCTGTAATCAAGTGTGTCGAAATACACAAGGTTCCTACAATTGCACGTGTGTAGACGGATTTGAACTCTCATCTGATAACGTCACTTGTATAGGTATGTTTATATATTATAGCTATCATAGTATGCGCTCTCTGATTGGTCAAATGTTATTGTTCATTATA